GCCCCTTCCCTCGCCGCCTCCTTCCCTCCCTCCCCCACTTTCCTCTCCATCGTTTGGCCGGGCTGCGCTCCTGCCTTTTTTTTTTTTTGCCGCCGCCGCCGCCTCCATCTTGCCTTTCCTCGCTCCCTCCCCCCCCCCCCCGCAACAGGAGCCGGAGCCGCGGCGGAGGCACTGAGGCAAGAGGCAGCGGGGCCGAGCGGGTTGGGAGTCGCGGGCATGAAGGGGCGGCGCTGAAGAGATACGGGCTGAGCCGACATCTTGTACCCCCCCCTCTACCCTTTGCCGACGGTGCCATTCCGAGCGCCCCGCGAAAAGCCAGGGGTCCCCGCGGAGGAGAACAAGGAGGCGGCCCAGGCAAGTAGAGTCAAGATCTCCCTCCCTCCATGCCGCCGCAGTCGCAACCTCCTTCCCCTTCCCTTCCTCACGGTCCCCCTAGGATCGCATGAAGGTGACCGGCTTGGGCGGGAGCTGGGTGACAGAATTAGAAAGGCCTGGAACCCTCCGAGATGCGGGGCAGGGATCCTTCCACAACGCCTTATACCGAATTTGAGGGGGAAAGGGAGAGCAACTGAGATCGCGGGGGGAAGAGGGAAACCTCTCCCCGCCATCTTGTTTGCCCTCATAACCGGGACATCTTTGGCCACGCCCACCTTCCCTTTCATCATTGGTCGAGGCAGGGACACGTCGCTCCTGTTTGGAACCGGGAGGATGCGACTGATTCCATTGACGGGTGATGGACAGCGCCGCTTTCCAATCCGAACATGGTTACGGATGATTCCTTTACCTGCTATGCAATTAGTGTAGGGATTTCCTCCTCCCCTCCCCCCTCCCAGGCCTTGGAGACATTGATAAATTCATATTCAGGCCTACTTTTTCTCCTCCTTTCCCCTTCCACCCCTTTAATCCCTCTCCCCCATGCTTTTGCTTTTTTTTTTAAATCTGTGGAAGGAAGTGAGGCTGGCTGGAGCCTTGAGAGATCAAAATTGTTGCCTTGTCGGTCACGTGACAAGAGCCTCCCTTGCAAGAGGGTTAATAATTAAGGCCGTTCCCCTGGGAAAGTATTTTCCGTGCAGGGGCCTGGGGGAATTTTTTGGTTAAGACCCGATACTTGACGTCGTGCAATGCCTCGTTCGGTGGAAAAAGCTTTGCGTAGAACCCAAATTCCGCTCAGGGGATTCAGGGTTGGCAGGATTCTACCAAGACAGCTTTTTCTAGATATAGCGATGCCTTAAATCCAGCGTTACACGCTTCTGCTGCCTGATACCAGTTAATTGCTAGAGAATCACTACTGTGTTGAAGGAATCGAGAAAGCCTTGGCGGAATTCATGGCTGCCCTGCAGTGTTCAGGTAACAGAATAGAATAGAATTAGGAATTAAGAATTAGAGTAGAAAACAGAACTGGAAGGTACCTTGGAGGTCTTCTAGTCCAAACCCCTGCTTAGGCAGGAAACTATACCAGTGGTTCCCAACGTGGGGCCCAGGTCCCACAGGGGGACAATTTTATTTTTAATGGGGGCCATTTGAACCGTATTTAAACTAAGTTAATGGCCTTTTAGGCTTCCTCCGAGTGAGTAGAGTTCAGTTTTTGAGTAAAGTAAAAATTATATGTGGAAGGGGGGGGGTCAAGATTTTAGAGATGCTTAGGTGGGGCATGGCCAAAAAAATGTTGGGAACCACTGCTTTGTACCATTTCAGGCAAATGGTTATCTAATCTCTTCTTAAAAACTTCCAGTCTTGGAGCATTCACAACTTCTTGAGGCAAGTTGTTCCAATGATTAATTGTTTTAAAATTTCGCTTTAGTTCTAGATTGTTGCTCTCCTTGGAAGTACAGGGTAGAATTACATGAGTCTTGGAAAAGATGCACAGAGATGACAGAAAAGCTTTTATGCGTTACCTTGAATATAAATGGCTGGTAGAATGGAAATGTCAGTTTAGGCTTACTTTCAATCTTTCTGTAGAATTGTGGAGAGAAAGGTTTGGGATATACTTTAGAGATCATCTACACCGACCCTCTGCAAGAATGCACCATTACAGGATCTCACATGGATAACCATCTAGTTAATTGAATATGGCAACAGTATAATGTTCCTCAGACATGAAAACCACCCCTCTCCCCCCGTTGAAGTAGTGAAAACCCTTCCACTGGAATATATTCATCAGTGCTCAATTTCTTCTGAGGCACTAATGAATGTATTCCAGTGGAAGGGTTTAAATGCATAAGGCATTTAAAAAACAAAGTGGAACAGAGTACATAAGCACAATTCTTTTCGTAACTCTGTGCATGCAATGCTTTGATTGGTTTTGTCTGGTGCAGAAAAATCTTGCTGTGAAAGTTTAGCCTTAATGTCTGATTCATTGGCTTCATTGATACTTCATTCTAAATCCAAGAATTTTTTCTTTAGTTTTGACTTAAATCTGTTGCACAAACAGATATTATAGTGGCTAAGGCAGGCATGACTATAGTCAACTGCATTATACAAATCATAATATATTGGGAAATATGAATCCTGTCATCTACATATTTGACCAATTAGTTCAAAACAATTCTCCACTTCTTCCCCCTTCCTTTGTTGGTCTCATATATTACATGTCCTAATGCTTTAGTAACTGTAAAGACAGGAATGACAGATTTTCTATATCATGGTGTCCAGATCCAAACATCTGTTTCCTCCCTTAGCTGCCTGTTTCCTTGTTGCTAGTACAACACAATTCCAGTCTTATAGCTGTAATAAGAATGTACATGCTGCTGTCTTAATCCCCATGTCTAGCTTTTGGGCCTGAGTTATAAAACAGAGGCTTAGTAAGCCATTTAAACCCACCAGATTTGCAGTATCTAGAACTGAAAAGTATTGGTTTCAAATTCTGCTTTCTACAAATCCCAAAAGGTGGGGTTTTTTGTGGCAATATGTCAACTTTTACCCATTGATGAACAAGCTGTGCAATACAAAGGAAGGGGAGTGTGAAGTGTTTGAAAACGGTTTCATTAGTTCTAGGTAAATTGGCATTAGCAAATATTATCATATCTTAATTAAAATCTGGAAGGAAAGCTAGGAGGCTGATAAAATTGCTTGAAAGGGAGTTTTTCATTTAGTAGATTGCTTATTAAATGGAAAATATAATATTCAACTGTAAATCAAATATTATTGCAACTTAAAGCATCTGTTTATTAATGTGTTTAGTATTTGTATAACCTCACTTTTTGTTTTTATATTATTGTTATTAAGCTTGGACATGCTTTTACTAGCCCTTAAACTGTAATATTTATATAATTAAATAGATGAAGTTTTCCCTAACAATTTTCTCTCCATATCTGGGAATATTTAAATGAGAGAAACAGTACAATATGGGGTGACAGAGAAGAAATATAACTCTATAAACCTCTATAATATTAGATCTATACTGTTTGAGAAGTAAATGTTACATACATTTTAGGCCTGGTATGAGAAAGAATAAAAGCTCACTGGCCCCCAAAGAGGCAAAATACACTGGCACTTTACCTTCTCTGAACCTTCGCTTATCTGCAAGGCCCTATATAAATAATCTTTAATGTGATTTATAAGCAGTCACATCCAAAGTGTAGAAGAATAAAACAACCAGATTTCAGAATTCACCTTAGAGATAAATCTAAAGTTGCATACACAAAAATCTGAGCCTTGTTTTTAGTTATATTTTATGTGCTGGCTGTGGAATTCTGGGAGTTGAAGTCTATACAGTTTAATTGCCAATATTGGGAAATACTGAACTAGAAGATTCAAATTTCTAAGATCTGAAATGCATGATTAGATGCAATGTTAGATATTAAAATAATTAATAGCTATTGTAGGCTACTTGAACACTGTGGAGTCCTTGATGAGCTACAGATATTCTCTTCTGTTATTGAGTTTGGTACACAGATAATGGGAATTTAAAACTTTTCCTCATGCTATGAAATTGTTAAAAATCACATGCATATTGGCACAGAAATGTCAATTGTTATCTCTGCAAACTATTCCCAGGACCAGTGGTTACTCTGGAAAGGAGACTCTTCCCTCCTATTTGCATGGCTGTATTTGGGGTCCTACTGTAGCTGTAGTTCTAGAAATCAAAGAAAGTATATATTTAATATTATGTTTAGTTTGACCAACTGAGTACACACATTCTGATGATTGGAGCCATGGAGAACACTCCCCCTTTCACAAAAATAGGCAGTCAAAAGAGGCTAGTAAGGTGCTTTTATTTAGCATTATTTAGCATAATATTTTCCATCAGCAATGGAAAAACTTTATTCTGCTAACTGTAAAAAGCAGTGCAACAACAGTACATAAGGGTACACAGAGTAGGAAGGGACCTTAGAGGTCTTTTAATCCAACCCCTGCTCATGCAGGAAATCCTATGTCATTCCAGACAAATGGCTACTCAGTCTCTTCTTAAAAACCTCCAGTGACAAACCAAACACAACTTCTGGAGCCAAGCTATTCCACTGGTTAATTTTTCTTGCTATCAGGGAATTTATCCTTAGTTCTAGGTTGGTATCTCTTTGATAAGTTTCTATTTGTTACTTTTTGTCCTGTCCTCAGGTGCTTTGAAAAATAGGTTTACCCCCTGTTCTCTGTGACATCCTCTCAAATATTGGAAGACTGCTATCATGTCACTCCTAGTCCTTTTCTTCATTAAACTACCGGTAGAAACATCCAGTTCCTGTAACCATTCATCATATGTTTTAGCCTCCAGTCCCAATCTTTGTTACTCTTCTCTGCATCCTTTCTCAACATATTTTTTCTACCATGGTGGTCAAAACTCGATGCAGGTGTGATCTTGCCAAAGTAGCATAAAGCAGTACTAACAGTTAATGGGATCTTGATACTGTCCCTCGGTTGATGCAACCTAGGACCGCATTGGTTTTTAGCCGCTGCAACATGGTCATATTTAAGTGTTGTACACTAGGACTCCTAGATCCCTCTCGCAATTACTGCTGTTGAACCACGTACCATCTACACTATAGCTGTGCATTTGGTTTATCTTGCCTAAGTGTAAAACCTTACTTTACTCGCCACTGAATTGCATTTTGTTGGATAGGGACCAGTGTTTAGGTGCTGATGTACTGTCAATCTTCTAAAGTGTTGGCTACTCCCCTTCCCCCCAGCTTGGTGTTGTCTGCAAATTTGATGAATTTCCCTTCTATCCTCTCATCTAAATCATGTATGAAAAAAATTGAATACTGGGCCTAAGACAGAAATGTGGGGCACCCCACTGCATGTAGATGTAGTTCCATTGAGGACTACATGTTAAGTGCAGTTGGTCAGCCAGTTGTGAATCCATTTGGTGGTAAACTGAAAAATCCCACATTTTTCTAATGTATCAAGAAGTAGGTTATGGTCTACTTTATCAAATTCTTACTATGTCTGCAGCATTTCTCTGGTCCACTAATTTGTCACTTTGCCAAAGATTGCAATAAGGTTTGTCTGGCATAATCTGTTTTTAACAAAGCCATGTTGACTTTTAGTAATAGCTTTGCTTGTTTCTGAATCATCCTTGAGTAGTTTTGCTATTAACTTCTAATTTTATATTTCCAGAATTATAAAAGAGAGAAAAGACAATTAGTTGTTTGTTCACAGCAAATTATGGGAGCTCCTTGGTCCAAGTTAATAACATCTCTGTATATTATGAAGCTCATGTGCACGTCTAGATTATGAATGCTTTCTAAAGACATGGATTGATCATCATTCATGATTTTTTTCTCCTTTTTATGGGACTTTATGCCTTTTTATGGGACTTTTTTCCCTGATGAAGAAGTCTTGGACAAATAAATGGTTAGTAACTATTTTGTAAACCTTTACTTGGATGAATAAAGAAATTTCCTGAACAAAAAAATTGTTTTCAGTCAGCCATTCACAATTTGATGCCACTAGTACTATAATTCTCAGAGTTTCTGGAAATCACCTGATACCAGTAGGTAATGCTGCTCTTAGTTATGCCTTTCCCCTCCTCCACTTCTTTGCATGCTTTCACTTTTCTTATTTGCATTTGCTTTCCATTTCCCCTTTTCCTTCTTTAACAGAAACTTTAAAGGATACATTCCTTTGCTGTATCTTCTGTATAAATAAAAATCTTGTGACACCATAAAGAGTAACAAAATCATTTTCACATTAGCTTTCATGGATCAGAACTCATATCATCAAGCCATGGAATATAGCCCTGTAAGAAGCACATTAGAACTCTATGAAGCTTCAGTTTGATCAAAATACCCAATTAAATCATGTAATCAGCTTAATGCATCTCATTGGATACATTTGAATTCATACAGCTATGATGGATTTTGTGCATCAAATCTTGGACAGTTCTTACATCCCCTCTATAAAATACTCTGTCATGATAGGAATGAAGGGAGAAATGTAAAATGGAAAAATTGCTTTGGAATCTTTGAAGCTTTATAGTCCTTCCTTCAGTAAAGCAGAATATTGGTTTCTTAGAAATGTTGCTTTTAAGCAATGAGATATTACATTTAACTACTCAATAACTAAACTGCTTGACTAATGGCTGGGAGTTTTGTCCCCCCCCCCCCTCACACATAGGTCCAGGCATTTCTTCATCTTTCAGAATCTTGTATTGAACCTGATACTTAAATTGCTGGCATTCACAAATTTATACTACTGCAGTCTTCATTTTGGGAATGAGCTGTAGTCAGCTGTGATTTATCATCTATACTTGGCTTAATAAATCATAGTTCATTTGGCTTTTCACAGTAGCTACAAATTCCACACTGGCATGTATAACCCATCACTGCTTAAATTCAGGCCTTGTGGTTTAATTTATGTACTTTCGCCGTTTTCTCTCAGAATGTTCAAGTATTAGAAAACTTGCACATGATTTTGTGATACGTTAGTAGTTCTTAATAAGGATGTTATCCAGCTCTGTATTTTGTAGTTTTTGAAGCATCATCACTGTGCTTTTAAATCTAAAATCAATTGTTATAACATGAATACATCTAGCAAAAACACCAACCAATATTTTAGCATGTGCAGAGAATTGTAGGGCTTGAGGGGACCTTGGAGGTTATGTAGTTCTACTCTCTGTTCTGTTCAGGATCCCTTATAGCACCTCCGATAGATGAACATCCAATCTCTGAAGAATTGCAGCAAAAGAGAATTCACCACTTCATGTGGCAGTCTGTTCCAGTAGCAGTCAACTCATGTTACTGGGAGATTTATCCTAATGTGTAGCCGGAAAGCTATTCCTTAAAGTTTTAACCCATTCTTCTGGTTCTGGCCTCTGGAGCAATAATATAATAGCAATAGCACTTAGACTTTTATACCGCTTCACAGTGCTTTACAGCCCTCTTTAAGCAGTTTACAGAGTCAGCATATTGCCCCCAACAATCTGGATCCTCATTTTACCCACCTCAAAAGGATGGAAGGCTGAGTCAACCTTGAGCTGATGAGTCTCGAACTGCCAAACTGCTGGAAGCTGGCAATCAGCAGAAGTAGCCTGCAGTACTGTATTCTAACAACCGCACCACCACAGCTCTAAAAAATAATTCTACTCCTCTTTGTGTGAAAGTAATGTTATAGCCCTCTGGAATAGGATCCAGTCCTAATGATATTCTGGAAATCCTTAAAATTATTGGGTTCTCCCAAGTTCTGTGCTAAGTTAGCTGTGGTGCTTGTCTCTTTGGGGTTTTCCTTTTTTAACATGAAATGTGGTTAGTTGGATGTCTCAGATTCTTCCTCTATTGTTTTTCTGCTTTTAAATGGCAAAATATCCAGAGTAATTCTGGAGTTGGGTAACTTTCAAATGAAATGAACAGGCTGCTATCATATCACCTCTCAATCTTTTTGTAGGCTAAGCATCTCCAAATCCTTTAAGTGTTCCTCATAGGGTTTGTATTCTACACCCTCCAACATCTTGATACCCTTTCTCTGAAGTCAATCCAATTTGTCACAATTGCTTTTGAAGGACAATGATGTGGATTTGCACTCCTATTAATGCATGCCAAGATAATATTTGCTGTTTAGCAGCTGCCTCATACTCCTGGTACATGTTTAATGTAGCAATAGCAATAGCAATAGCAG